CGATAACTTCTTCCTTCTCCTTCTGGGCGTATTTCCATCCCGCGTCATTCTAGGGAACATGTGGTATCGTGTAAATCCTTGCTGGCTTAGCGTATCGAGGGTCAACCCTACCGCGCTCCACGTCACTAAAAGCTATGGCCTTATCACAYGTCTTCAGGATTTCTATCACACGTTCTCGCTCTTGTGGGGTCAAATTTCCATCTCCGATGTCCATTCCTGCTATCCTCTCTTCCGTTAGGCGTTGCGGCTCGTTTTTCTTTCTTTCTTTGATTCCTTTTGCRATCTCTTCTTCCGATATCCCTTCTAGTGCAGATCGCTCGCGGCCCACCGCCGCTGGCTTAATTTTTTGTGTTACTCGTTTGTGTCGCTTGGGTAGCTCCCCATAGGTGGCCGTGCCCTTAAAAAAGACACGGATACCACACCGCCAAATTCCTCATCTTTTTCCTTTGGGTACGAATTGCCGTCCACTATTAGTCGACTCCCTAAGTCTTCCACCTCCACGATCCGATGTGAGAAGTGATCCATATCTCTTCTTGCGAAATCGCACCGCGCGGCTGGAGATAGGCAACGACTTAATCTGATCACTGGGTCTTGCACCCACAACGAGAGCTGCTCTGTTCCTCGGGTCCCGAGGCTCCACTGTCTCAATCATTACCCGCGTCCCGTCTGGCTTCGTTATGGACAATGTTTGGCTCCCATCAGGTCGCTCTATCGTCACCGCATGCACGTGGCTCAGCCTCGTTCGACCCAAGAGCAGGTCGGAGCTGCAGCTCTTGACAGCAAAGACAGGCAGGGTCACTTGTACCCCTTGGACCTCTATGGCTGCCTTGTGACAAACCCAAGTGATCTGTTGCTTTCTCCCATCAGCCGTCTCTATCTCGAATAGGTATGACCTATCGAGGCCGAGTCCAACTTGTACTGCCAGGTCCTCGTCTATGATGACAGCCTCACTGTCGTTATCAATCACAGCATCGAGTACCGCTCCATCGTTTATAAATCGTCTCCACAGCCCCGCTACCAAGTATATAAAACTTGTCTGGAGGCACACCTTCCATCCCATCGAGAAGGACTGCTGCCATGCGATCCGCTCGGGCAGTCACCCCCGTTATTGCTACTGTAGAAGGTTCCACCTTAGGGGCCCCCTGACCCTCCTCTGATAGAGGTATGCGAGTCTTCCGCGTGATCATCTGTAATTCWTCAYGAGYCGGCTTCGATGCCGCCAGGTACTCCAGAATAGAGCACTGCATGGGTTGCCGAAGGGCCCGCCTCAGTGGCTCGACCGTGTCAATCTCGTCCAGCGAACTCTTCATTAAGAACTTCTTCACTCCCCDCTTTCGCGGCGAAAGGATAACCTCCTCTCCATCGACCCGCTGCCCGTCCTTCTCCGCCATCACGTAATCCGTGTTAGTCTTCTTCGATGTAGTTCCTCTTGCCGACTTGGTGGCTGCCACCCTTATGGGTGTGGTCACGATATCCCCCTCAAACGTTATCTTGATGCTCTGGCTCCTGACCGGCTCCATTCCCTTACTCGTCTTTACTCTCCTTGCTTCGACATTTTCCTTCATCGAAAGGAACATCGATATATCTCCCAGATCATCTGGCAGATCATCTGCCCACTTGACGTACTTGCGGTCGTCAAGCACGACAAGTCCCTCATCTATTGCCCGTTTGAGATCCGGGCAATCCCTCTTAATATGATCTTCTCCTCTACAGTAGACGCATGAGTTCCTGGGAGTAGATGGCCTGTCGTCTGCGCCTTTAGAGATCGAACTCCTGGCCGCCTTGGGGTCAGGCGACTTGGGATATGGTTCTGATGAGACGCGATATCCCCCTCTCTTATTCCGACCGCGCGAATCGTTGCGGCGGTGTCCTCCAGACCCTCCTTGCTCATACCGCCCTCGCGAATCATTCCGGCGGTCCCCCGAGTCATATCGCCCTCGTGACTCATCGCGTCGGTCCCCTCGGTTGTACCACCCCCGCGACTCGTCTCGCTGCTCTCTCACATCTCCCCCGCGCTCAAACCGTCCGCGCGACCCATCTTGTCGTTCCCAGTCCCGATCTCCTCTCTCATATCTACTTCCTCTGTAGCCATCTCGACCCGACCTCTCGTATCTGTCGTCCCTATATCCATCTCGGTCCGATCTCTCGTATCTGTCGTCCCTATATCCATCTCGTCGGCCCTGTTCTGTCTCCCATCAGCCTCGGGAGTCGCCTCTACCCCGATCGGCCTCATAGCGAGGGTTTCGCGGGTAATCATCCAGCCTCCTTGCTCGCACAAACGGCTCGCGATCTCTGCGGTCTCGGTCTATCTCATCGTCCCTACGTCGCCATAGCTCATCGTCTCCCTCTCTTCCCCTCGTACGATAATCAGTCACCGTCCGAGGATTTCTATCCTCGACACTCCTCCAGGGATCGTTGTTCCTACGGTCCCAGCGAAGTGAATAGGGCCCTCCAGGTTTGTCCGGGTAGGTCGTGGCCCCTGTAGCGGTCACAATCTCTGTAACCTGTCTCGTTAATCCCTTCACCATGTCCCGTATCTCCTTCACTTCCTCAGCCACGGCCTCATTCTTCTCCGACCAGGGATAATCCTTGAAATCAGAACATCTCTCAGTTGCATACTCCTTGTAGAGAGAGAAGTCACGTCTCCTCATCCCTCTCCACACCAAGTCCTTGTAATCGTCTGCCTCTGCCTTTATCGCGAGCTTTAGGACTTCTGGGAAATCAAGCCTGTCGCGCGGAAGATCTCTAAGTATACTCTTTTGCCTACCTTTGGACAAGTGTCCGATGAAGATAGTA